AACATCGGTAGAAGTAATGCAATTTTATTGCGTTTATTTGACAATTGAACCAATTTGTGATTTTATCTCGAGAACACGATTTGATATTTTAAAATTTAGAAAATTAATTGAAAATAATCAACTCAATTAAATATTTCCTTTATTAGAAAAAAATGTTAAAATTATTGGAAACGTTAACAATGGATTTAAGGGGGTATTCGGGTTTAGAAATAAAAAAAATCGGTTTACTTTTTTTTATCTTTTCGTAGTTTAACTATTTAAGAATATGTCAACGAGAGAATTTTCCAAAATTCAAATCATTTTCGGTGATCTAAGTATTTTGGTGAACGGGCATCCAAATCGCTTTGGCTGCAACTTATCGAACAAGAGACATAACGGGTTCTCCGATTTCCTGAATATATATATATATATATATATATATATATATATGGCAAGATCGATAGGTTTGGGAGTGGCCGGAGAGAAATTTCGGTAGACTCAATGCATATAAAACAAGGCAGCAATAATCACAAGTGGAGAGCTTCTAAATCTGCACCCAATCGTATGATTCAGACATACACATACATGCTTCCCATTCGTACTCAACACCTCTGATCTGGAGGATAAATCTGCACTCATTATTGTACGCCAACTATCTTACTTATGTGTTTTCCTTCTTATCCCTTATTTCAGCTCGTTTAAACACAAGCAAATGGATTCCACTTCAAATGTAATCAATACAATTTACAATAAATTTGCCACCATAATACTTTCTATTCCCGATGACACATATTTTTAAGCAATTTTTGCAAAATTACTTTGTGTAGTAAAATTAATGTAAATGTCTTTTGTAAATTATGGTTGAAGTATAGATATATCATAAGGCAAGATTGTTTTTATCAGATTTACCTTTAATATTTTGATAAAGAAATTTTGTTTCCTGTAACCAGGTGATGATTTATTACCACTAGCAATGAATCGAAATGCTTGGTTAGACTACCTTTCGAGTGCTTTGGGGTTCACCACAGAGGCTGCAATGTGTGGTTTAAAGCAACGCAGCATTATTGAGTAAACAACCATCTTGTAGTAGGAAGTTAGGTTAAGAAGCTGAAGTAGATCGCCAAAGCGTTTCTCCCGTGTTAATGCTAAGGACATTTTTGACATTAAGATTTCAAGTGAAATCTAGTCTATGAATATGAGAAATAAACAATTCAAGCAAATGACCACAAGTTGAAAGTATTTAACCTATTAGAATTGATTTGTTTAATTATTTCGTTTTCACTTTCGAACTTATGTGACGTTGAATTACGAGACTCTAAATTCATGCAGTCAGGCACAACAGGTGACAAGTTGAGAATTCTAAAATTACTGGTTCAATTGACTATTTTGCCATACGACTTCAAATAATTTGGAGAGAGTTGGCATATTGAATTAAGAATACTGATGATTCTTGAATAATTTGATGTGAAAAGCGGGAATAGCTCTTTTGACTGCCTTTCTTAACTCACTCTACCTCAAATGCGATCCCCCATTTCATGCCTCATTTCACTATCTCAGATGCTTTTCCATAATTAACAGTTTTTTCCCTCACCAATGCCCAATCACTTGCAATAATAATAATAAAAATAATAATAGCCACCTTTCGTGAATCTGATGCCCATCTCAGTTATTTAATTCACGAAAACATCATATAATCACACCGCCAATTTGAAGTGCATTGGGTAGATGAAATCAATTATTAACATACTATTGTCGATATAAAATGTTGATATTTCTGGTACTTTTTCGGAACCAGTTTTTATTGCAATCGATAAATATTTGCAAAACACATCTTTATAATTTCAGGCCCATTGTCGTGGGTGTCATCTTCGATGCTAATTGGGGACATTTTCTACTGGGGAGGGGCTTCTATAGTCCACAGTGGCATTTCTCCGGTCGCAAGATGGAGAGCGATGAATCCCATGCCAACTGCCTGATAAGTGAGTTGAAGGAGGAGCTCTCCTTTAACATGTCCTCCTATATCAGGGAGGACCTGTGTGCCTCCATTCCACATGCCTCAAGGGATGTCTGTGCCTACTTTGTGGAGGCTGTGTCTACCAAAGTGGCTTTCAAACCTGCTACGAGATATGAAATAAAAGTGAGTGAGTTGGCCCACAATTCAAAACAAACGTTTCATCCTCTCGCAAAGGGATGATAATAACAATCCAAAACAATGCAGAGATAATTGAGAAATTTCTGGACGAGGCTAATACGTCCGATTTAGTCCCAATCGAATCAACTGCAGGTACTGCGCCAGAGGGAGGTTATTGTGAAAAAGAGCAGAGACCTTAGTTGGAGGAGAACGTGGATTCGGAACTTTCCAAACAAAATGTTGATTCATCAGTAGGTGGTGCAACCCTTGAGCAGAATTTACAAAGCGAGTAAATTATTGCTTGGGTTCCAACTATTCCACCTGTAAAGGTATCGTTTTTGAAACGCTTCAATAAAGTAAAAGGGAACGCCTTCAAAATCGAAATACTTCTGGCGTCAACGGCACTGGATCTACAGTGTTTTTTTTAACAACACTGTACAATACCCTATTCTGACTCGGAAAAACTAAGGTAGTGAGAGGAGTGGTCATCTTTGCTAATCACATATTAATGCTCATTTAAATTACATTAACGTTATTTCACAAACGAATCATATTTGCTGTGGTAGTAAAATCCAATAAACGTTTTTTTTAACAAACCAGGATACTTTGGCATCAAAATTACTGTGGATAACGCATGACTCATTTGTGTAGCAATCTGCTTCGAAAGTACGGCAAACTTACATTTGAGCGCATTTTGCCAAATTTATTGTGGATTGGCAGCTGAGGAGGCGTTTCTATAGCTTACATTACAAAGATGGCTATCGATAAATTTTGAGACAAGTGCCTGACAAAGGAGCCAAACGAAGAGCTCTCATTTGACATTACTTACCATATCTGGGAGGTCAATATGCATTCGAGCCAGACACCTCTATGGGTATGCCTACATGTTCTGCTACCATTCAGAACGGCAGACAAATAGCCTGCGTGAATTTGAACCTATATTTGGCGCAGGCATTCTGAGTTGATCTTAAAATCTGTCATGTCATTACATCATACTACTTGCACTGCCACGCCATTCTTCCCTCCAATATGCAAACACGATTTCAATGAATATACGAATGCTGCCTACAAAGGGCTCCGAAAAGCTTATTGGGAGAACCTAGTTCAGTTTGCCCATAATAATGGTCATATATGGATGCGTGATATGAAGTTCTACTAATTGGATAAGTGAATTTGTCAGAGATCATGTCCTCCAACAACTTAATAGTATCATATTGACCAATTATTTGATAAATCTCTCCTTCTTTTGATGAAGAATGGAGGCATTGTGTACTAAGGAGGGGTTTAAGTATCAGAGAAGGAAAAGGTGCCTTCATTCCAGTCACCTTAAGGGATGTCTGTGCCTATTTTGTGTAGGCTGGATGATCCACGTAACTTTCAAACCAAGTACTGGTACGAGAGCAACGGGATGGTTACCAACGCCATGGGAACCGAATTTCAATCATTTCAATTGACTCACCACGACATAAATCCTCATTTAAGGTACACGGACACTTCTGTAGAAAAATTCACGAGTTCACTTATCTCGGAGTAAAGTTCAACGCAGCAGCAATGAAATCGATGTGATTTTTCATGTGCCAAGCACGCAACTTCCTTGATGAAAGCCCAATTAGGTAAATGTAGTGTCTGACTATGGATTCCCTTATCCAATTTACTTTCCACATATTTTCCCCTGAAGGCTTAGTAAAATGCAGAAAAATTGATTTGCTCAACGAAAGTAATGGTAAGCAGGAAAACACCATAGTTGGAGCAATCAAATAAACATTTTTTTTAAAATTAGTGAGAAAGTTTGTCCACAAAAAGTGAATGGTCCTAAAGAGCATGGACGATTGAGCATGGGCAGTGAAGAAGAGCAACATGGTTTTTCAAAGACAAGTCAAGTTGATATGAAAATGTAAAGTTGATTGTGGGGGAGNTGATGGCCATGTTTCAAGCTAATCATAATAAATAGATGTCAAATCAAATGCCATGTGATAGACTGTTTTGCCGTGCGAAGATACGTTGTTCAGGGTGCACCACGAGGCGGTAAGTCTATCTCGCACCTCTAACTTGATGAATTGGATATTGAGATGTAGAATACTTATTTTGGAAGGGGTAAGTAGACGATGGAGATGGTGGGTGAAAAAGTGGAGGGAAGATAGGACGTAAAAAGCAGATGGGGTGGGGGGTGGGGGTGGGAGGATGTTGTGGAAGAGTGGTAATCGAAGCAAGAGGTGTAAAATTGTGACGAGTGAGGTGAGGTCATACTGAAGGATGTGAAATGTTTGTAGATGTTTGTATTTGCTTTAGAAGTGAGAATGTGATGAGAATGGGAGGGTAGAGCAAAAGTGATGGACGCGGATTAAGTGGTTCTTGTTTATTGATTGTAAGAAATGGAGGCAGATGAGTTTAAGCTGGGACGAGAGTGAAGAATGGGGAGCGGGTGTTGAGTTCGCGTTGTTGTTAGAGGCGATTTTGGTGCCGTGAAATAGATTTGGCGTCAATGAAAGTGGTGTATTTATTTATGTATTTCAAATGGCAGGCATTTTGATAGTTATCATTAGCCCTTTAGTTGACTTCGGGCTTCACAGAAGGGAGGAATATTAAAGTGAGAACAATTTGACAGGGGGGAAGAAGAGCGATTCACAGATGTAACAGACAGACAGACAGACACAAAGGCAGAGAAAAGGGTAGATGAGTACTGTGTAAGGGGTCGAAAATGACATACAGTGGGGTTATGGAAGCTTGAAGTCGGAGGTCAACTACCAGTTAATAGACTTTTTTGCCGTATGAGAATGTAGGACATATAGGGGGGTCATGGTAGTTTGAAGTGAGAAGAAAACTGCCGGTTAATAGACTTTTTTGCCGTATGCGGAGAAGTCAACTACCAGTTAATAGACTTTTTTGCCGTATGAGTATACGTTGCCCTGGGTGCACCACGTGGAGGTAAGTCTATTGCGCACCCCTGGTGTCGTGAAAGTGGTGTTGAATGTGGTGGTGTGGATGGAGTTGTTAGTGTTGGTGGTGGTGTGGCTGTGGATGTGATGGCCTTGAGTGAGGAAGTTGTGTGTGTGAAATTGGGAGTGGTGGAGAGTCATGGCAGTATCAGTGCCTGCGGCGTCAACGCTAGTACGAGAAGTTGGAAGTGATGTTGGAGGAGTTGACGCGTTGAGGGTAAAGTGGCTGATATTTGGAAAGTGTGGGGCTGAGTGTGTTAATGTGTGGGGGATGAGGAACTGGAGGTGGTTGTTGGAGTGGAAGTGGAGGGGGATGAAGGCGCGTAAGTCACGGGGATGCATCCCTACTCCCCATCACCGAGACCACCACCAACACCACCACCACCACCGCCACCACCAACTCCAACACCAAAACCACCACTTTCACTACCATCCACACCTACACATCTACACTCACGTCCACCTGACTGTCACACTCCGCCTCCACCACAACCTCCTTCTCCATCTCCTCACTCACCGCTTCCACCACTTCATCCAACTCGTCATCCATCTCTTCATCCAACCCTGTACTCTCCACATCCGAGGATACACATCTCCTCATCTCGCCTCTTCAACACACCATGACACCCACCACTCTACGCACTCGCAGGCTTTTTCGCTGCCGTTACTGCGTTAAGTGCTTCTCAACCAAACGCTTACGACATGCTCATCACCGACTTCACACTTCATATGGCCCAATCGCACCCACTTGTCCACCACCAGCAACTTCCATTCACTTCATATGTATGCACTGCCATCAAGCCTTCACCAACGAGAGTGCATGGAGATTGCACATTCAACTCACTCATCCTCCAGCACAAGTAGCTTCACCTCCTGCCACACTCAGGTCACATGCTATGACTTACACGCCTCCATCCCCCTCCACTTCCACTTCCACTTCCACTCCAACAACCACCTCCAGTTCCTCATCCCCCACACATTAACACACTCAGCCCCACACTTTCCAAATATCAGCCACTTTACCCTCAACGCGTCAACTCCTCCAACATCACTTCCAACTTCTCGTACTAGCGTTGACGCCGCAGGCACTGATACTGCCATGACTCTCCACCACTCCCAATTTCACACACACAACTTCCTCACTCAAGGCCATCACATCCACACCGTAAACTTGCGAGTTTCAGATATGTAGGAGTATGGCAATTTATTGAAGTTGAGATGTGGAGTGAATATGGATTGAAGGGTACAGAGAGACATGAATTGGCTCAGTTGGAGCAAACAGACGACGTGAAATAGGGCAACAATTATTTCAGCTTCGTTCATAAATAGATCTAAATCCCTCTTTTACTGCTGACCCAAACACTCCAAAACCCTCTGAGACAAGTTAAACCTTGCCAATTGGCGAAAGGAATCACCACCCCAACCTTGCCATTTCTTCTAAACTACTTTGACTTAATCACAAAAACACATTTCAATATACCACATTTTTGCCTCCCCTTCCAACAAATAAGTGAAAAATCTCCAGCCTCGACACACCCCTACCACCTGCATTTCTTCAACCATTGTTTCAATATTGGCAGTGGCGAATTTGCAGCAGTGCCGTCAATGTCATAGTAAATTACTTACAGTATCACTGCTAATAGGGGGTATTGACCTTATCAATTTTGACAACTATAGATCTATCTCCCATACAGGCATGTTGGCTCAACCTATGGAAAGAATGGTTAACAGGAGGCGGACCTGTTTCTTTGAAACTAACAACATTTTAAGAAACGAACAAGCAGGTTGAAGACCACAAATATCACCAAATCAACAAGTAATCATTCTCTCCCAACTTATCAAGGTGTCCTTGATTCAAGAAATACTGCTACCGCTGTATTTGTGGATTTCATATCAACGTATGACTTAGTATGGAAAGAGAACCCAATTTCAAAAGTGGCGAATATTAGTATAAACATAATCTGCTAACTGGATAAATGCATTCATTGGACAAAGAACATGAAAATCCAGACGTAGGAACCGCCTGTCCAAATCTAATAGCTTGCAAGCAGGCCTACCACATTGAGCTGTCACAAACTGTTCTCTTTTCAAACGTCTTCATCAATGATATAGATTAACTGTAACAGACTGTCACAGGCAGGAAGTGTTTACTTTACGCAGATGAGCTTGTTCTCTGGCATTCCACACCAAGAAAAAAAGTTCAGAAGAGGACGTAAACGGCATTAAATTTTGCACTCAAACTATTAGCACACTGGTACGACAACAACGGAATGGTTACCAACACTTTGAAAACCGAATTGCAATCATTTCAATTGACTCATCACGACATAAATCCACACTTAAGGTGCACGGACTCTACTGTAGAAAAATTAACGAGCTCACTTATCTCGGAGTAAAGTTAAACGCACCAGCAATGAAATCGATGTGATTTTTCATGTGCCAAGCACGCAAATTCCTTTTCAAGAGGTTGGGAGAGAAGGGCGATGACGCAATGCTGATTGAGTGAAAAGTATCCATAAACGTGGCTGCAAATGATGAATTCAAGAACAATTTTACGAAAATCTCATTAAATCGGAGACAGGTGGTATGCCCAAAGATAATAATTTAATTGAACTTCTCACAAATAAGTATTCACACTCGACACAATGATAAATTAAATTAAATGATTTCAAGGTGGTGATTGCGAAACGGAGTTGTGCTGCAACGCCGTTTTAGAAGTCTCACTATCGTGGTGGTCAAATTGAAGGAAACGTCGGAGTAAATTCAGAGAGTGTGAGCTTGAGAGTCCTAAATTCTCCTAGGTTTCAAACTTCAACAATGAAACACCCTCCTCGGCTATGTCCACATTATGGAAAAAGTGAGTTATGGGAGGGTGGTACTTCTCCACGAAATGCACCAACTGAGATCGAACCACATTGTCTGCTGCAAATAAGCTCTGCTTGAAGACAATCATGGCAGACACGCAACCGAGTGACCAGAGATTGAAAGAAAAGTTGTATTTCTAATTGTACTGGCCAAGAATTGAAGCCGTTGCTGAGTTTAGATTGGGAGTATACACTCGACCTACATGTCTTCTATGTAACCTACAGGAGGAAATGGAGAAGACCCACCTGATTAAGTGCCCAGCCCTAAAGATAAGGACGGAAATTCAAAGATACTGGGAAGCAAGAAGGGTGCTAATGAATTGGAATTAATTAACTGCTATAAATGTACCCCACCCCCTCTTGGGAAAAGC